ATATTTTATTACTCTGTCAATAAAATATGTTTTAAGTCATTTAATGGTGTGCAAAGAAAACACAAGCTATATATATGAAAGCTGTGTGTGTGTGTGTGTGTAGGATTAAAAGAACTATTTAAAAGAAAACATTCACATTTTAAAAAGTTATCAGAACAGTTTGTTAGCTATCTTAATATTTCCATTATCTATTAAAATAAATTCAACAGAGATAAAAGTACTTGAAATCATTTCTAAAAAGTAAAATCAATTGAAGAAATAAACAATTTAATTCATTTCCTGATCTTAAGAGAGCATGAGCATTTGAAAAATTTGTATCAGCAAAATTATTCTCTGGTGTCACCACCAGTTATATCTAAATCATGTGGGTAAGCAATAAGGTGTGGGGAAGTTAAAAAGCCATGGAAATATATCTAATTTCCATGAAAAGAGAAATACATAGCAAAGCTTAGAAACAAAAATTAAGACAACCAATGCTGTGCCTGTGTTCAATGTCCACTTGAGGCTACTGGATTTAAAATTATCAAATAGACTTTAATCAAATTAATCACTTTATTGTAGTACTGGTACCTTCCTGTGACGTAAGGGGTTATGGGCATAAAGGCACAAATTCTTCAGCAGTGTATGTTTAATACTGATTATATCTCATTAATCATTCACATTGGTACTTGTAATATTGCAGATAATACAGACAAAATTCAGAAATCTTGATCATTTTTTCTACCATGTACATATAATCTTAACTCTAACAATCAGATTATTTTGAAATGCAAATATTTTTGCACCCAACAGAATAATGGAAGCTTTCTGATAGTTTTAATTACATAGATTCTGACCAAGTGCTAACTTGTAGAGATAAATCAGGTAAAGGTTATCAAAATATCAACCAATGGACACAGACCACAGACAATAGGGTGCTGAAGGCCTGGAGTAGAGCGGGGGCAGGGAAGGGGCTAGATGGGGGTCATTGGGGGAAGAAAAGGGACATATGTAATACTTTCAACAATAAAGAATTATTTAAAAATAAAAATATTCCCAAATATTCAAAGGGTCTCTTGAAATTTTTAACACTTTACAGATATATGTGTGTGTGTGTGTGTGTGTGTGTGTGTGTATCCTATCTAATAAAAGAGAAACATGGTAATTAACGTACGACCGCTACCCTTCCCATTGGCTAATCAGGGTGATATGCAAATTAACTGCCAGCCAAAATGGCAGTTAACCGCCAAAAAAGATGGCGGCTAATTTGCATATGTAGGCACAATGCTGGGAGGCGAAAGGGAAAGGACGGAAGAAGCCCCCTGCCACTGACGGTGATCGGAAACCCAGGGGGGAGCTAAGAGCCGGGG